CTTGTAAGGAACCAAGTCCGAACGTTATTTTTATTTACTTTTATTTTGCTTATTATTCTATTTTTGTTTGGGGCTTATGTTTTGTTAGGACGAAGGTTTCCTCACCCTTCACCTTAGTAACTTAAAAAAAAAAAAAAAAAAAAAAAAAAGATTTCAAGCAAGAAACAAGTGAAGAAAACACCTGAGATTCTTATCCTCATCACTAAATAGAAATCTTTGATCAAAATCCTTGGAAAGTCTTCATGCCTACTGTAAAAGAATTGTCCAATAAAGTCCCTTTCCTTACTGATCTAAGTAGGAAATGTCACTGAATTCAAAATTACTATGTTACCATCAAACCAAACCTATACACCAATTATCTAAATTGAACAGATATAGCATATGTCTTGAACCTCTCTCATAACTTATTGTGAAAACTGCATATGTCATTGTAGAAATTTCTACAATATTTCCATAATGGATATTAATTAAGTTTAACTAGATTAAGTGTATTGGTTGAAACAGAAAGCATTGTTGCTCTCCTATTGCCTTACCCCAACAGTCATTCTCTTGCTCTATTAAGAAGATAAAATCTCATTCACACGGATTGATTTATTCAATTCTCAATAACAATAAAAATTGATTGGTTATCACCTTAATAAAATCAAAAAGGGCTATCTCAGCTTGGTGTGTAGACATGCTACACTATTATGAAATAAACTAGATATTACTTAAGTATTTTAATGTAAATAAAATACAGAATAATACATATTCAATTCAAAATATGCTTTATTCTACATTCTATCAGAAATGTAAATTGTTTAATTAAAATATAGCTTGAAAAATAATCAAAGAACACAATTTGACTTAAAGCTAGGCAATTAGACTATTATCTTACACAAAGATTAATAATTTATATACTAAATATTAAAATTACAAGAGAGTGCCTATTCCAATTTTTTGCTTTAGATAACATATATTCGTTAAATTTTCATAACACTTTCAAGATATGAACGTACATATATATTTAACAGAATCAGCCATTTAAACTTTTTCATAACTTTATTACCATTCCAAGTATTTTTAGTAATAATACAATCAAATTTAATATAAACTGCATATAAAATGTATTAAATTACTTGTACAATTTTCTTTATATAAAAATTTTACACGGTAATTCAAAAACATACTAACATAATAAAAGAATATAAGTTGATTAATAATCAACTTATATTCTTTTATTATGTTAGTATGTTTTTGAATTAAAAAAAAAGTTTAATTAAAATTTTTGGCTGAGTTATTTTCTTCTAATTTTTCCAAAAAATTTTGAGACAATATTTTAATTGTTCAGAGAAAAAAGATTTATACTAAATGTATATTCAATAATATTCAAATGTTACTATTTGGTAGGTTTTTTGGTAATGTACATCAAAAGAGTACATAAAAATTAATATTTGTAAATTAATTTTATTATGTAATGGAAATACAAAAAAAAAATTATATTATGTCCTGACTTAATATTTGAAATAACAAATTTATACTTGCCATTATATTTCTTCCTCTATAATGTTCAGGATTACTGTTGTATTGTGACTGATAACCTGGTCTGACATGAAGACCTCGGTACTGAAATAAAGCAAATTCAATTAAATATGCAATTTCATTTTTCTGGAAATTAAAATTCAGATAATCAAAAATATATAAATATTAGTTCTTCATATAAATACATAAATTAATTCTTCATATAAAGTGATTAATCTAACTTGAAACAGTTCACACTGAATATACTAGATACCTGTTACACTACAATAATCAAATAAGTCTGAGTTTAAATTAATGAGTCTGACTTTATGTAATATTTGTAATTAATTAGTCAAGTTATGGCCTGATAATGAATCC